AGCTGACCCCAATTGACCCAAGGGATATTCTAGACCATGGGACGTCATGCTCAGCATATAAAGCTGGGGGAAGAAGAAGGAAGGGGGGACGTTCGGAGTGATGGCGTTTGCCTTCCCAAGTCACCGTTAGGCGTGCTGGAGCCCTGCTGTCCTGGAGATGGCTGAACACCTGCCTGCCATGGGAAGTAGTGAATGAATTCCTTGTTTTGCTTTGCTTGCGTGCACAGCTTTTGCTTTACCTATTAAACTGTCTTTATCTCAACCCATGAGTTTTCTCACTTTTACCCTTCCAATCCTCTCCCCCATCCCACGGGGGGAGTGAGCGAGCGGCCGCGTGGGGCTGAGTTGCCGTCTGGGGTTAAACCACGACAGATGGCTCGCTTCACCAAAACATATCCCAGTAGGTAACAGCCTAGTGAACTCTAGCCATCGCTGTCTGACAACAGAATCTGGTCCGCTGTACTGGTGCAACTGGTCTCTCCAGACCACGTGGAAGAGTGATCTTAGGTGAACCCACTGCGCTGCGTTTCCAGAGGCAGGTCTGCGTAAGGCCAGAGCAGAGACGACAGCTTCCCTGGTTGAGTTTCAGCCACTTCTTAAAGATGAGGAGTAGGTCCCAAAAGAACTTACTTGAATTTGCTGAATTTTAGATTTACCTCTTATTTCAGTCTCTCTCCAGAGAGTGAGGAAAATGCATTGATCACTGATTTCAGGGATTGTCTTTTTAACGCCAATATTGTGTGCTTTACTGAACGGTGGACATTTGCTCTGAGATGTGTAATTGGATACATCTTATAAATAAATAAAGCAAGCCCATCATTTATGTATACAGGGGCATTAACAAAGACATCATTCATCCATCACTAGCAGTGTTCTCAGCCAGCTGTGTTTGAATCTGTCAGGAGCTACCATCTATCCCCTAAGGCAGTGCACAGAAATAACTTAAATACAGTGTTACTAAAAAAAAAAAAAAACCAAACCCAAAACACCCACCCTAGCAAACATAATTCATTAATTCAATTCTTTGACATTTGAGAGAAATCAGATTTAAACATCTTTTAATTAAAAGCTCCCTGCATAGTACCTAACCAACCAGTTTATTTCCTTCCTATTTAAAAACTAATGATTTTTCAGAGCGCCAATACAGAATTTTAACCTTATCTAGAAAACGTTTGCAGCTGCATATGGCATGGTGTCATCCTGCAACATGCACACCTTCTACAGATCTATTATCTGCTGTGGAACGTGGCAACTGATCTAACAAAATTCAGTTAAAACAATAATTACCACTGGACAGGTGGAGGGGAAAACCCAAGTAAAGAAGTTCACTTATGTGGGAAGACTGAGCATAAGGCACTTTCCCACACAAGGCTGAGAAGTCAGCCCACTCTATGTATCTTACTACTCATACAACAACCTCCATTCTGCCTTTCACAGACATCCAGCAAGAACTGAGTGATGTCAAAGTTCATCTCCTGGCTCTTGGGTTTCAGCCAAAATATTGCTTTCATTGCAAGGCACATAGGGGGGGGGGGAAAAAAAATCTGTCACTGAGAAGAGAGAGAAATTGCTGTTAGTTGTGTTCAGCCATTGTCAAGTGGTCCCAAAAAGAATGAAGTCCTGCATCACTGTATATTTACAAACAGAACTGATGCCTTCCCAGAAAAGCAAGCAATTTAAGCAGATTAAGACAAAAAGTGGAGAGAAAAACAAAGATTTTAGAAAGTGCAAACTCAAAGAGCATTGCCCACGTGGATTCAGCAAGTGACACAGTGGAACCAGTAACACATGGCGAGTCTCTCCTGAGCAGCCTGACATCCCCTCTAATGGTCTTGGCACATAACCGCGGCTATTAAGAAAAATAATCACATAAGCAAACTCACATCAATCAGAGGGTTAGTGCTGATAATTAGCACCAAAAGTTTGCTGCCACATCATTTGTGCAAGGAGACTGGAGGTAGAAATTCAGCCTCCTGTTCCACCAGGAGCGGGGTCAGATCAGACTGCTAACGGGTCCGGACGCTGAAATCAATGCGATGACTCCTGACCTCGGGGCTTTTGGATCTGGTTATATTTCAACTGGACGGTAACAATGTGCCTATGTCAGTCCAGAATTTTGCTGGCTCATGTGCCGCAAAGTCCAAAAGCAGAATTTGACCTTCCATTTTGAGGCTGACAACTCTTTAATTTTCCCATCTAAATTTCCAGTGGTGCACACAGCCCCGGTTTGTACCCCAAACTCCAGGCACTCGCTGACTTTCAAAACTCCTAAAAGACATTTCCAAGGCTTCACCCAAACAACTTCATAACATCTTTCTCATCACA